GGAAATAGTAAGTGAAGCAAGAAGTTAGAATTTGTCATGTATGAAGTTAGGTTATTTCCTACTTTATTTTCTGATGAGGTTAGATATTGCTCATATGCACCACAGATGTACTGAATAGTTTGGTAAAAAACAAGAACTATATGTCAAATGCTACCCTGAAAAATCTTCATACCATCATCCTAAGAACAAAGAAGCATGATGTGTAATTTATTTCTCCAACTTTCATGTAGACACACTTCAAAGAATCAAAGTGGTCCCATTTTCCAACTTCGATCTCCATCTCCCTGCAGACATACATCAGAGAATCAAAGAAGTCTTCTAGACTTTCCTTGAAGGTCGAGAAGCAGCATAGTGTCTTCTATGCAACCACCAATTTCTTGGCTTGGGCTCACAGTCTCTCTAAACAAATATGTTTTCACTATCTCATGCGTCAGACTTTGTATTAAACTCCCAGGAGCCACGATGCAATGAGAGAAACAAACATATGAGAAGATATCTCACAGTATAATGCAATGAAGAGCACATTAGAGCACTTACAAGTGCTGAACAAAGTGTTGTAAAGGGCAAGAGCATTCAGAAGTCTTTCAGATGTTCAGTAGAACCTTAGGAACTCACTAAAGTTTTATCAATAAGCTGGATTTATAATATTGAGTTATAATCTTAGATAGTATAGATTGAGAACTGAAACTATGAGTCAGTATGGCTTTGATAAAACTGAACCCACTATGTCAACAGGACTTAGTTCTTATCCCAAGAAACCTTTGCCTAAGGACGATATGGCTATAAACAAAACAAATTGAAGAAAAAAAAACACCCCCCCAAACACTTTAAAAATACTGTGTCAGGGAATTCTAAAAGATTGGAGACATTTATTTGCTAATCTTGGCAAGTATCTTATTTATCAGACAAGATTCTTGCTTGCTTTTCCTCCCAATCCTGAACTACAGCATTCAGCTTGCCGATGCCAGTCAGTCCTTTGCTCTGACAGACCTAGCCAGACCCATATTGAGCCGCTTGAGCACAGATGCCAAAGCCCTACAAATATCACACGAAGACCCAGCTGAGACCATCAGGAGTGCTCCCTCTTAACTGCAGAACATTCAAAGAGTGCTCCCTCTTAACTGCGGTACATTCGAATCCTTAGTTTTGCTTTACTAATGTCTGTCACCTGCTAATATTGTGAGTTCAACCATAGTGAACATTTTTATTTTTAGGACTGCTTATTTGAATGGCATGTTGTCTTCTTATATAACACAGAGAATCATTTTTCTGTCTCAAGCTAATGCACTTTCCTCTAGTCTACATAAATGACTACCTTAGGAAGGCCCCATTTAAAATACAAGAACTCTTCTACAAGTTTGCCTTTCGAACCACAAATCACTAGACACACAAAGATAATCAAGTCATTGCTGTCAGCTAGTTGGGCACATTTTTAAGCACGAAAAGAATCAACTAAGGAATTTGTCAGCAATATAGATTGCCGATGGCCACATTCCATTTACAGAGATTCTGATTCAGGGGGGATTGGCACAAGGCGTTTGAATTTTAAAAAGCAGTACATTTTCCCCCGAATGTAAACTGTCTTTAGACCATGCTTTGAGAAACAATGTGTACGTATGTATGTGTATATACATATGCATATTCTGTGTCTCTCTTATGAAAATGGGATCTTATATATATTTTGTTCTGCATTTATACATACTTTTCTCAAGAAACATCATATAAATCATCACATATAGACCTGCTTTCTTTTTAATGGCTACATCATATTTCACTAAATGGATATACTATAAATTTCCAATCCTTTAATAGATTGCTGGTTTTTTTTCTTTTGCTATTACAATGTAATGCTGCAATGAATACCTTGCATAATTCTAATTTGCATTTGTGCTAGCATTTCTGTAGAGCACAGACTTAAAATTTAAAAAAAACTGCTGACAAGTGGATTATAACCCCCACCAGCCCAATGGGGCAGAGAAGCGCCAGTCGGGTCTCCGGGCTGGCACTCTTTCAGGAAGCAGACGCCACGTGTTCTCCTGCCAAGAGGTCTTTGTACCCGAACCACAGACTTTTTTGGTGGGGAGCTGAAGTGCTTAAACCAGTGTGCTACTGGAGCTCCTTCAAACATAATGGGATAAAATGGAAAGAGCAGGATTTTTTGGAGAGTATGTGCACTGATGTGAGTTCGACAGATCCCATTGAACTGCCCACCAATCATTTGTATCCATTTCTAGTCTCACCAATGGTCTAAGGGACTAGAGGTTTGCCCTGCCCACCCCAGTATTAGTACCGATTGTGGGAATCTTGATCAACCTGACGAACTTTTTTTTTAAATCTTAAATTCTTTACCATGCTTTAAATCTCCCAATAGCCAGCCCTCAGTGTACCACTGAAACACCAGTAACTTATCTAAAACTCGGAGACAAACACAAACATCTTGCAGAACATTTACTGTGAGTCTCTTTAGATATGCACAAGTTACAAAATAGAGACAACATATCCATGCTTTCAGTGGGGGCTGCACCAATATTAAACACACAGGTGATTAATTTTACTAAACAGCAAATCTCCAGCAAAGGATTCGTTTTCATTTTTCATCTACAGATTGGGAAGATCTTATTACAAATCAATGTCTATGTATAACGCTTAATTAAGTAACCATCAAATGATTTTTCTCATTAAACGCTTTTCAAATCCCTTATTTTTTTTTGCAGTTACATTATTTAACATGTATTTCCTTTGTATCAAAATTTATTGTTTGAAAACTAGGTTCCTATTTTGCCTTCAAACAACGCAATCACCTAGGAGACAGAGAACAATGAATTTACACTCTTCAGCCACTGGAGGACTTCCATTTACCAATATGAAAGCAACAGTCACAAATCCAGGTTCAGGGCCTGGCTCTGTCGCCTAGCAGCTAGGTAACAGAGCTGGACAAGTCAGCTCCTCTCCTACCAGCTTCAGTTTCCTCGACTCATTTTGCAGGATTGTGTTGAAGATTACTTGTGACTGCCACTACTACTATCATCACAGCACGATGCAAGGAAAAATACCAAAGGACTAGAAATGTCTACAAAAATCTTTCTCAGTGTGTATGCTGGCATTTTCCAGAGTCGGATTCTACCAGTTTAGTCAAGTGTCTACGGGCAGCGTGGTAGTGACAAGAAGGGTGTGTATTTCACAGGGTTATGATGCTGCTTACAAAACCCACCGATCTTGCTCTCTACTACTCTGCCAACAGTTCAGAAAATAGTCCCTAAAATGCTTGGGTCCTTCAATGAAATGGCATGATACAAAGATAGAATCAACTACACATTAGGATGGCTCCTTCCCCCGCAACCTGCCACACCCCCCACCCCTCCTCCGGCAACTGCACATTTCTGAAACACAGGGTAATGCAATCCATCAAGTCATGATACTGAGATTTCCTAGAGCCAAGAAGTGCAACTTGACTATATATAAAACACACACACACTGGAGAGCTTATCTTTGATTCCTTTCTATAGTTAATATAAACCTGACTTACTCATTCATTATATGTCTAGATATCTACCATACACAAAGCCCCATGCGAGGTACTAGGGAGCATATAATTTCTGTATTCAAGAGATAAAGGCTCCTATTGGAGTTCATAGGGTGAAGCATGGTTATCTAGATGTGCCTGTGCTTCTGGAGTGATAGGTAATCAGCCAAGGCTGCATGGCCCAGAGAGCTCATCTCTTGGATGCACAGCAACGGCCCAGGCACACTCCTCCTCCCAAGGCCAGGTCAAGCAGGGCCCAGGAATGAGGGACCACTGTCACGTGGTTCACCCTGCACAGCTGGCAGCGGCTCCACTCACCCAAGACTTCCTCTTGCACTTTCTCCCTCCACATCATGACTTTTGAAACATTTTTGGAACCAGTTTTTAATGAGCAAAATAATCTGGAAGACGTTGTTCAATTTTTATTCCAATAAAACAAGAGGTAACACTCAGCTGTATAAAGTCTTACACGTGAAGAACATTTACACAAATGTACAAAATGTCAAAAAACAACCACAAAACTCCAGTTTATTTCCAAAACCTTGAAAAGGTAGGGAACACATAAAAATATCCAAAGTCATAGTTTAGGAATGTAAAATCTAAGAATACAGTTATAAACAAGTATATTTCCCATAAAGAGATCAGTATCACTACATGATTAGAAGTAAAAAGGAGAGGTATGCACAAACACCTCCAGGTGGAGAAAGCAACCGCACGTGACCCAGAGCTTGAGCCAGGCAGTACAAACTTCCTACCACGACACAGGTGCTCCAGAACTCGGAGACAAACACACACAAGCATCCTGCAGAACGGTTACTGTGAGTCTCTTTAGCCATGCACAAGTTACAAAATAGAGACGACAACATATTTATGCTCTCAAGGAAGGCTACGCCAATATTAAACACACAGGTGAGTAATTTTACTAAACAACAAATCTCTCGTAAAGGGTTAGTTTTTGTTTTTCATCTACAGATTGGGAAGGTCTTATTACAAATTAATTTCTATGTATAAGCTTCATTTAAGTAACCATCAAGTGATTTTTCTCCTTGAATGCTTTTCAGATCCTTTTTTTGCAGTTCCATTTAATATGTATTTCCTTCGATGTGCTGGCCTCTAATAAAGTTTAGATTTATTGTGCCTAACAACTTGAATGTTAGACTGCTTCATTCAAAATATTTGTTTAACATGATGCCTCAGACCGCACTTCTTCTATACCATTTAAATTTTAGTTTCAACACTCTAATTTTCCACTCTTTTGAAATAGGCAGAATCCCTTCAAACTGGGGTCTATTTTGCCTTAAACAACAGATTTCGCTTTATTCAACTATTTTAAAATAAATGAGGAATGTTTGTTGAGTACTTGTTTCATAAATGATAATGGCCAAAAAATACTGCTTCCCTAAAACACACCTCCCTCCGTCTTGATGTGAGACCAGAGGTCCCCCCTCTCGTCTCGTCAAGTCCACAGAGCTGCCTGCAAACACTGCAGGGTGGTGAGCAAGAGCTCCAGGGTGCTTCCTGTGCTCCTGGAGCACAGGGCAGAGAGAGGAGTCACCTGCCTGGCCTACTCGGCCACAATCCCACGAAATTCTGATTTGTTTCTCCCCTACTTGATTCCCAAAGGCTAGTGTGTGGATCCACCCGGGCAGCCTGATGTTCCCATGGGAGAAGACGGGTCATCTCCAGAAGCCCGAGACGTTTGCAACGTAGAACAGAGCTGCAGTGTCTGCTCAGGTCCTCTAAGCAATGGGTCAGTGTGGAATCCTCTCCTGATAAAAGAGGATACATATGAGGTCTGTCACCAAATTGTCATGCCAGCATCTTCAGACTTGGGAAGGTGGGTGAGGAAAGGGCAGTACGAATGATAACAGTTTTGTTACCAGAGTTAATATTAGGTAGTATTTGACATTACTATAAAATTTTCAAATATATCATCCTTATTTGAAATACTCAAAGCTTCTATAAAATAATTTCAGTGTTGACATAAGATCACACTCCAGAAAATCAACTGGTGCAAGTTACTTGAGCGGAAATTCAAAACCACACCACTGAATCAGCTTTCAGAGACTGAAAAATAGATACATACACATGCAAACTGGTTGTGCGTTGTATAAGAGGGTGGTAGCCTTTCATACTTAAAATTGCAGGCATCTACAGATCTGACTCCATTTATGGAGAACAAGAAAAATATAAAATGTTACATTTTTTATTGCAAAAATAAATGAGACTCGTTAAAAATTCAGAGTTAGAAGACTTAAGAAGTCATATGTCCATGTTATTCAGTTAGATGTCAAAAACAACAAAGACTAGTTACTAGTCCCTAAATAACATATACCTATGATCTAGGGTCGTGCGACCACCAAATATTCTAAATAGTCCACAAGTGATTTGCTTCTCAAACCCTACCGTGCATAAAATCAACAGGGGAGCTTGTTAAAATGCAGATTCTCATTTGTAACAAACTGCCAAGTGTTGCCAATGCTACTGACTGGTCAGCAAAGCTCTATAAAACCCAAATGAATCTCACTGCAGTGGTTGGACATTAAAAGCTGAGCTCTCATTTGTGCCATCTGAGAATATGTTACTCAAACTTATTCTAAATATTTTCTCAGTAATCCAACTTGTTTAAAATGACAATCTTGGAAGTTAGTTTTTATTTTTATTTTTTTTGGAAGTTAGTTTTTAATAGTATCAATACTGTTAGTAACTCAGCCTGGGGCGGCGGGGAACTTATTGTTAAACAATTACAAAAAGACAACATGAAATTCACAGTGACATTTTACAAGTGTAAAATTGTACACAGGATTCCTATTAAACTCACCCAATATCAATTTTCATTTGCTGGTTGCTATATTTATATATTTTTTGTTATAAATATATATATTTAGCTAAAATTTAGGCCATTCCAATACCGGAATTAAGGATATCAAATATCCTTGTGTCAAAAAACATACTGCACTCAGGAAAATTAGTTCATGCTCTTTTTAAACTTGTGGTCAAAGCAGACATGGCCCACACCGCATCCGTAGTGTAAAGGCTTCCAGACATCCGAATGCTCCCTAACTCGGAGCCCATCACTAGCAGGTAGAAAAGCAAAACACAGCGCGGGCTGTGGAGAAGCACCACACTGCGTTCTAGTCAGAAAAGAGCCCAGAAAGAAGTGGACAGCTCCCCAGGCCATCCTCACCCGGGCTTTCTCCCATCAACTCCCAGAGTCTTTCTTACACAGCCTTGGTTGACAGGGACCCTCAACACAGCGGAAACAGCCACCACTAGCAAACAGCAAGCTTATGACATACTCTCCCTAGCTTCATACAACCATAGCTTGGTTTCACTTTTTGGCTGAGGGGAGGTAATTTAAATGTATTATTCCTTCCACATCATAGTAAGAACATTTGAAATAGGCCCACCACAGAACCAGAAACAGGAACACAAACCCCAAATGAGTGATCGAAGTGGCCTTTGTCCATATTTCACGGTTCTTGATTTCCTTTCATGACATTTCATAGATGGAAAAAAATGATCTAACATCTTTCATTTTCAGGCCAACAGTTCAGTCTTACATAGTTGATACTGGTGTCTTAAGAGCTGTGTTGTAAGATTGACAATGATTTCCAAGGAGTCTTCAAGGATATGTGCTCTGAATTACAGGAATCCAAAGTAGCTAGGATTCCCAAAGTGGAGGAACAGGGCAAGTCAGTTTTATGGCCTCTAGGACTGGGATGGATTGTCATCTGATAAACCCAGCTGGAACACATCTAAACAACACACGGACCAGCAAGCTGACTTTTGAGCTTAAACAACTCAATGATCACAGCGAAATCATGCACCTGTCTTCTGACATCAGGTAACAGCCATCTCCTCAAATGATCTAGGCGTCTGCTTTTCAGTGCTCAGAATGACCTGCTCTGCGCTGAAAGGTGGTCGCGGAACCTGTGTTTCTCACAGGCCTGGGCTGCGCTCGGGCTCGCCCAGGGGCTGCAGAGATGCTGGAGTCTCTCACCTGCCTCGCCTTTCATTAAAGGGACCCCATTGACTCGGAAGGCCAAACACAGAGCTACCAAACAAAATAGGAGTCATATTTATAATTAAAACAAAACAGAAACCTCATCGCCTCAGATTCAGTGTAGCCAACCTGATCGGACAATCTGCCTAACTTCATTGGCCCACTGGCAATCTCAGGGCACCAGTCAAAAACAGAAGAAAGAAAAACAGACTCAGCCAAGGGGGTGGGGGTGGCGCCATAACCAAGAGTCAACAAAGCCACATTTCAATGTACCGAAAAGCCTAGGCATTTCCCCTTCGTACATGTAAGGTGGCCTTCAGGATGAAGGGCACGGTCGGGCTGCTCTCAGGAACAGGGGTGAAAGCCCCTGGGTGCTTTCCGACAGAAGCCAAGTGGCCTTCCAGATTCACTGGTTGGCGAGAAGAACGTGCTAGCGCTCAGTCTGTTGACAGAGTAACACTAATACTCGGAGGCCTCTGCTGGCTGGATTGAAGCTTCGTGGGAAGGTCAGTTCTCTCGGAAATGTAAATCAGCTTTTCTTCTTGGAGACTACAGGCAGAGAACCTGTTGGCATCTGGCCCGGCCCCAGCAGAGCCAGCAGCAGGTGATGGGTGATGCGGGGCTGTGGCACCACTGACTTGTTCAAAGGACTTGCTAAACACCGTGGCGGCGGTCTTGGCCAGGCCGTGGCTGCTAGGCTTCGGCAGGGACTGGCTGGTCGTTAGAGTCAGTCTCTTCAGGGAGAGAAGCTCAAGGTTCTCGCTCTGGGCTCTCTGAGTCTGTTTTCGAGCAAAGTGATCTTTGCAAGATTCCCCAGTCGTTTCTTTCTCTTTTCCTCCAGTTCTGCTTCCTCCCGACCGTCTCTGGTTCTTGCCTACACTTGCCTTGTGACTAGAATTGTGACTACTGTTTGATAAACCTGACTGGCTGGTGCTAGACGCAGCCCTGGAACAAAAGCCCTCGTCAACTTCAGATATGTCCATCAATTCTTCTTGACCGGTTAAATCTGTATTTCCTAAACAAAGAAATAGCGAAGATGAATTAACATGGAGTACTCTCAACGATTTGTTTTGTTTTTCTTTCAAATCATTAACATCAGATCGATTGTACTTGAAACAAATTAAACTGTAACAATTTCATAAGGAGATGGGTTATAGCAGAACAAAATCAAAGGAGAAATCAAAACATTGATTCTATAGCATCATAAGACAGTCTATTATAATTCAATGACAGTCAGTGAGAATGTATTAAATAGCATGCCATAAATCACACCACACTGTGCTTTGAGAAAGACTTCTATTATTCATGCAAAAGAGCAGAAAACAAATTAGGAAAAAACAAAACAAAACAAAAACATGGTAAACTACATTCCCTCAGTTGCAAAGCAAAACAAAATCCAAGCTCTGACCAAGGGACTCTTCTCGAAAAATGTGGTAATTTTTTTTTTTTGTATTTTTAAAAAATATGCTTAGTCTTATTTAAAAAAATCTAGACTATACATCTCTTGGCTCTAACTTGTTAAAATTCTACATCCCTAGTATTAGCCATCAAATCAAAGATGAAAAAATCATTGTAGATTTCAAAACATAAGCAGAAAAAACTGGGAACTTATTCAGAGACAAGATAGGCATGACCATTCATTTCAAAGAGCACTAAGAATCAGTCAGAAATTGTGGTGTACAACTCATGCATTTTGATTAGGTGACATGCAAAGTTTTATTGTGACTGTGCACCCGTGGCTTAAACATGCGGCAGTGGCCCTTTGCCAGGAGATACCTTGGCGTGCTGCTATAAAGTGCTCTGCTAAAACTGCACTCTGCCAGGTGAGTTTATTCCATCCTCCAGGAGCTTTCTTACAGATCTCTGCCTCCTGATCTCTGGCAAGCCTTTGCTCTCAGTTCTAGGGTCTGTGGCCGCTTCCTGCACACCCTGCACAAGCTGAGCATCAATCTCTCCTAGTGCTCTGCCTTTCTCCCCATTCCCGGTCCTCTCTCCGGCCACACTTGTGACACTAATCTCAGGAATGACAAGGTTGCCCAATTCAGGAGTATCATTATTGTTGTCAGGTTGCTCTAGAATTGAAGATGATAAGACAAAAGGATGGCTGAAAACAAAACAAAATAAAAATGCAAAACAAGAAAAACGAAAGACTCAAAATAAAATTGGACAACCGAATGCTATGAATTAAGCTAAATGGTTGCACTGTAAAACTTCTCATAATTTACAAGACGCTGACAGCACTGAGGAGAATAATAGGGTTATGTTCTTTCATTGTAAATGACAAAGGAAAAACCTCTCAGAGCATCAATTTATGGTCTACATTTTTTCACACGTACTCAGCATGGAGTCTGAAACAAAGATTTTAATATATCGCAATAGGATTTCTCTTGTTTGTCACATATCCTGGTGACTACTTGAAATCACACCAAGCCTCAGGGGAATGCTCAAAGGTGTTCGTTCAGTCATAAAACCACTAGCTCTTGTCAATGCTCGGAATCATTCCATTTAGGAATTCCCCTTGGCCTGCATCAAAGGATACTTTTTTTTAAATTAGATGACAATGAGGCTGATATAATATCAACATGATATTATGATACCATGGTCAATAATGGCACAGGTAAACTTTTGTCTCTCACACCAACCAATTCATGTATTAGAAAATATTCATGTGACTATCACATAATTACTATAATCCCGTAGCTATCAATTAGCTTGTAACAGTCTGTTATAACACTGGAGAAAAAATATTAAGGGTTTTAAGAAATATTCATACAAAACAAATTTGAAAACAAATGGCTGTCAGTCTTTTATTCTGTCTGTTGTAACTGAAACAAGGGAATGAAAATCCTTATGTTTTAATACTCTTAGACATGATCTTCTTCAGTGTCTTACGTTACAGTCAAAGGCATGATTTTAGCTAGGCATCTGTGGGAAATGGGGGAAAACGTGAGTATTTCTAAAATGGACCAGTAATGAGACTTAACATTCAAAACAACACAAGACGGTAAACAGTAGTATATACTTTTAAAAGAAAACACACATCTGCTGAAGGGACATTTCCATAAGAATCACTTGGGGAACTTGTTAAAATATAAATTTTGATTCAGTGTATCTTGGATGGAAATGCAAATTCTCAGCAGGGATCTAACTAGCATGAACTAGCCCACAGCTGGAGAGACCCTACTGTCTTCAAATGTGTTCATTGATAGCGTTACCAACTCTCACTCAAAGACCAAACTCACTGCCGTGGACCGTAGCTGACTCATGGCAGCCCCACAGGGCGGGGTAGAACTGCCCACGGGGGTTTCTGAGATTGTAACTCTGACTGAGTAGAAAACCTCATCTTTCTCCCTTGGAGAGGCTGGTAGTTTTGAACTGCTAACCTTGTGGTTAGTAGCCAATCGTGTACCCCACTACGCCAACAAAGTATGCTAAAAGATGCTAAAACCTGTGGTTTGTCCAGGTGGTAAAGGGAGGGAGGACTGAGCCACACAGGCCACATTCCTGTTAGTCCCAAGATTTGCTGCATATCTGTATCATCCGAGGGTCTTTAAAAACCACTGATGCCTTCCTCCCCGCACCTGTGATTCTGATTTTATAGATGTGAGGCATGACCTGGGAATCAGGGTGCTTCCTGACGACTCCAGGTGACTAATGTGCAGGACAGTTTGAAAACTACTATATGCTGGTTCTTTAAAATGTCGAAAACATCAAACCAACCCTTTACGGTTGCCCGAATACTTCATACCCACCAGAAAGATGTGCTTCTGGGGGGTCTTCTCCTCAGAGCTCCACTGTTGTCCGGGGCTGGGGGGCATGTGCTGGGTTTACAATTTCCCCTGAATTTAGGTGCTCAAAAACTTTTGACCGAAAGCTTTCTAAGTGAAATTTCTATTTCCCAGCTATACCAAAGACTGTCGGTGAGGTGGCAGTACGCTCTTACTTCTGGTTGTTCCCTTCAGAAAGGGTTAATGAGATTAAAAAAAAAAAGCTGCAACTAAGTCTATTCCCAATTGCTAGCAGCTGTCAGGTTGAGGGCGAATAAAATCTTTGGGTTCCGTGCCAAAGGACACTGCAAAGTCACCATGGTGCTGTTGGGTCACAGCCAAGACTTGTCCATTTACATTGCAGAAGCAATGCCACAAAAGAGCTATTAAAGGAACCTTCAGTCAGAAAAGTTATAGATTACACAAAAGATCCAGACAACACAAAGCCAATGAATATTAATAATGAACAAACTAAAAACAGATAAGCATAAATAGTCTGATAGGATACATGGAATGGCACTAAACAGCGTTTTTGAGACAATTTATATATATATATATATATATCAATTAATTGCATTTTCAAGACAGTGTGTTGGTGAGCCTTTGAAAGAGGCAATGTGATTCCCATTTTCAGACAAGGAAACAAGTTCAGAAAGAGCTACACAGCTATTCAGAGGGGAGGGGAATTGAACACCAACATCTTTTGACTTCAACCATTCTGATGTACTAAAATATTTTAACTCTTCAATTTATTTAAATATCCTTTGAAATCCCCAAACCAAAACCAAACCCAATGTTGTCTAATCAATGTGCCAGGTGACCAAGTAGAATTGCCCCCAAGGCTGTTAGTCTTTATCAGTGGTTCTCAACCTTCCTAATAACGCGACCCTTTAATAGTTTTTCATGTGGTGGTGACCCCCAACCATAAAATTATTTTCGTTGCTACTTCATAACTGTCATTTTGCTACTGTTAAGAATCAGGCGACTCCTATAAAAGGGTCGTTCGACCCCCTAAGGGGTCACGACCCACAGGTTGAGAACCACTGGTCTTTCTGTAAGCAGGATGTCACATAGGTCTCCTACATAGTGCCGAGTGGGCTTGAACTGCTGACCTTTCGATTAGCAGCCAAGCTCTTTAACCAGTGTATCATCAGGGGTCCTCTGTCACACCCAATTAAACTTACATTTTTAAAATTTAGACTCCTGGTCATTTCATAGAAAACAAAGAATTTGCTTTCTCCAAACAGAAACCAAATCAAATCAAAGTCTCTAAGAAACCAGCCATTTCTCTTCTAGGTTAGATTACTAAAATAGCTTTTACTTTACAAAAATATGCAAATGAAAATGTTTCACTTAAGATGGTGCTTCCGTGGTGAAAATTAAGAATTTTGCCAAAAAACATTGCTCAAAAAGCTTCAAATTTTGTTCTCTTTCAGAAACTGCAAGAAAAAGTCAAAAGCAAAAAAAAAAATACAATGCAGCACTAGGCAGTGAGATTTATTACGGTAGAGTTCTAGATCTGCAGCCCCCAAAGTAGTGATACTAGGTGGGGGTTTTTTAAGCATGAAATTAAATGACAAGTAGAAAATTCAGATCATCTGTTTTCCCATAGGCTCTCACTAATTAATTAAGATATGCTACCACCAGGAACCCTGGATACATGCTGGGCTGCTGCCAGTAAGGTTGGCAGTTTGAAACCACCAGCTGCTTTGTGGGAGAAAGATGAGGCTTTCTACTCCTGTAAAGTTGAGTCTTGGAAACCAGCAGGGGCAGTTCCACCCTGCTCCATAGGGTCACTGTGAGTCCTGGAAACTCACAGGAGCGATTGTAAACGGTTCTGAAGAGTTTCTGAGTCAGTCTCGACTCAATGGCAGAGAGCTTGGGGTGCTTTTCTTGTTTGCTTGTTGTTTTTAATCTCTCAAAAATTGTGAAGGTGGAAAAAGACTGGACAGCGCTTCCCTGTGTTGTGCAAAGGGTGGCTGTGGGTCAGAACTGACGCCCGGCACCTAACAGCAGCAGCAATCCAGTCGCAAATGGAAAAAGTGGTAGATTTTAAAAATGCCTATTAAACTAAATTCATGAAGAGAAAAGCATGTACTTGTGTACTGAGTTAGAAACGCATGTACACGTCAGGCAAAGTTAGGGACTAGAGAGAGGGCATCTGATGCGCCACGCAGATTTACTACTTGAGGTAGTTCCCCATTATCTCTAGCTGCGTGGCCTCCATAACTCTGCCCTCCCTCCCCAC